TAGTGTGCAATAGTCAGGGAAAAACCTTGTGTTTGGCTGAGATGAAATTACTGATTGTAGCCCATGGAGCAGCGCAGCTAAGGGGAATGGGCCTTGACTTTGCTAGGAGATAAGCATAGAAGGGGTGTAGTGTTGCGGATTGCCTAGAGGAATTGGAGGTGGGGTTTTGGCTGTAGGAGTTTATATAGTGGCCATTTTAAATCCGGGGTCATCTTAATTAATCATTACTTGCCTGTTTTTGTGGCAGGTTGTGTAGTGTCTCTGTATCTTGCAGGTGCTGCTGATTGAAAAGTAGAGAGAGGTGTTTCATGGCTCCAGGAGTGTCTGGGAGAGGCCTTGGTTCCATCTGGGCCTACTACATTGGGGACCACCGCGGCGGCTGAGGTACTTCTTGAATGTCCCACTCAGAGAACCCAACCCCAGCACTGGCTCCACCAGGAGGAGAAGGGTAAGCCCATCCCAGGATCTGAGGCCGGAGGCTGATGCGATCAGCGGTAGGCCCGGGAGTTCGGGAGGTCATTAAGTACAGTCTCAGCCTGTACGTATTCCTGGGAACAAGGCTGAGGCTGAATTGTTATAAGGCTATTTCCAAACACTTTAAAATCCATCATTCTACAGTGAGAAAAAATATTCAGAAGTGGAAAAAAATCAAGACAGTTGCTAAACTTCCCAGGAGTGGACATCCCAGAAAAAGTTACCCCAAGGTCAGAACGTGCAATGCTCAGAGAAATTACAAAAAAACAAGAGTTAGAATCTACAGGCCTCAATTAGCATGTTAAATGTGAAAGTTCATGACTGTACAATTAGAAAAAGACTAAAAAAGTATGGTTTGGTTGGAAGGCTTGCCAGAAGAAAGACTCTCCTCTCTAAAGAGAACGTGGCAGCACGGCTTAGGTTAGCAAAGTTACATCTGTACAAACTACAATATCCTTTGGACAGACAAGACCAAAGTGGCAAAAACCAAACACTGCATATTAGCACAAGCACCTTATACCAACTGTCAAGCACTTCAGTGGACAGATGATGATTCGGCTTGTTTTGAAGCCATAGATCCTGGGAACCTTGCAATCACTGAGTCGACCATGAACTCCTCTAGATACCAAAGTATTCTAGAGTCATCTGCCTGACAGCTTAAGCATGGTCAAAATTGGTAATGCTATATGACAATGATCCCAAGCACACCACTCACAGTACAGTTCTGAAGTATATGTAGATATCTATTTATATCCTTACAAAAATGTTTAAGCATAGAAAAAAAATTTAATATATCATTGGTAGTTTTACTGTTAAGTAATATTTTACTTTTCTTTGTTTTACAAAAAGACTAAAGTAATAAACATATAAGAATACAAATGTATACAGAAAAGGTTATTCACCGAATAAATTAAATCCCAAAATAGCCAAATTGTGACTATTGCTGAGTTGAAGAATTTTTCCACATCAGCTATTTTAATTTTTCCATTTACCGTAAATTTAATTCATGAAAATTTGGAGTTCAGTAAATAACACTGAAAGTGTTCAAAACTGCATGATAAAGCAAACAAATGTACCAACAAAAAAATCATTTTTATTTCTCCATGCCATATAATCTATTGTATCACAAAAGTCCCTTTCACTAAGGCTACTCTTGAATTGATTAGGGAAAGTGACAAAAAAGAAACAGGACAAGGAAACTAGGAGATAAGCATAATGCAGACGGCCAGGCCTCTGGAGATGAAATACACGCTGAATCTAAAATTGCTGCTGGTGCTGCAGCTGCTGTTCTGTCATATCCGAGAAAAATAACATCATAAAGTCTATCTCAGGCATTTTGGTAAAACTGCATTAACAACAACAGACAATAATCCTTTGAAAAACATACGCTGCATTTTCCCAAACCTACAACTTGAAAGGTATTTCTATCGATCATTTCCAACATCAAACAGCCAGCGACTAAAGTTATTGTGGTCAGAGAAGATGCAACCACATTTAATAGTCACAATGGTGAAAAAAACAAAGCAGGATAAAAACAGGTGTGTAGAATTGCTGGTGGGTTTAAAACAAAAAAAAAACATTGAAATATGAGTTTAAATAGAGATAAGTCCTTCAAATCTATGAAATGTTCTAACCCAGAGATCCTTCCTTCAACTTAAAATGTCCCCAGTCAATAAGATCCCTCAAGAAAAAGAACTTGAAAATGTCTTGGAGGTTAAGATGTCAACCTTTTAGGTTGCCCCTCTTGGTTATGTGCCATCAACACCATCACTCTGTTTATCATGTTCTCTTCTGGTAGGCCAGGACCCAAACCTGCAGCTGTGACATCTCTAGAAACGGAGAGAAACAAAACAAAAAAGAACCAGATGGACATACACGCATCAGATAAGGGCAGGTGGCTGGGGATTTCTATCCTACTGCCACAAGAGAATCCAGCATGCATAGACATTAAGAATCATCTTTTTCTCCTCAACATACATTACAGGTGGGGACTGCTATCCCGTGGGGGCTCTGCTACAGGGAGAAACAAACTGCAAGGAGACTTCCCTGTACTAACCACTACATGTTCATAAACACCAGGATGCATTTTTTTCAATGCCAGGGTCAAGAAAAGTGTGGGGACCAGAACGAGTGGGAGCCTGGGACCTGCAGTCATGATACCAGTACAAAAGTACCTCTGAGTCCACTTTTCCCCAGTCAACCAATAAAATTGCTCCAATAGAAAGTTATTTGAGAAGGTTTATTCAATATATGAAAATAACGGTAATAACTGTCAACATACATGACATTCCTAACTAGAACTAATTTACCATTAACTTCCCTTGTCCACATATTGAGGGATAAGTGATAGTCAGCTTCCTGGTCTCAATGCACAAACTCAAGAGGCACCTAATTGCCATGGTTCTAATGTGGCCATCGAACTTAAAAAAGGATGACTGTGGCCATGTGGCCAATGCTTTCCTATGTGGATTTTGAAGATGCTGGATGTGAGGATGAAAAGCCAGGAAGAACCTCTAGTGGCTGTCTGGAAAGGGGACAGAGACCAGGGCCTTCTTTAACGCAGGGAAAACGGGGCAGCTGCTCTGGTCCAGTTACTCATGGGGGCCCAATGCAGCTGCCCCGTGGGCCCCCACTGCCCTCAACAATTTTTCTTATCCCCAATCTGCTTGTTGGTGCAGCTGCGGGTAGCCCATGAACCCCCAGGGAGCACACAGAGCTGCACTGGAGGGAGGAGGAAGCACTAAGGAGGGGCTGGAGAACCAACAGCCTCACACACAACACTGGACCCATGGGAAGCCATCCTCCAGGGTAGATACGTAACTGGAGGGTAGGTTTACAAATGTAAAATGTGCATGTCTGTGTGTCTGTCAGTGCGTCTGTGTGTGTGTGTCAGTGTATCTGTCTGTCAGTGTATTTGTCTGTGTGTATGTGTGTGTGTCAGTATGTCTGTCAGTGTATGTGTCTGTGTGTGTGACAGTATGGATCAGTATGTCTGTCAGTGTACATGTCTATATGTCAGCATGTCTGACAGTATATGTCTGTGTATCTGTTTGTGTGTATCTGTATGTTATCATTGTGTGTATCCATGTATCTGTATGTTGTCAGTTTGTATCTGTGTTCATGTGCATCTGTATGTTGTCATTGTGTGTATCTGTGTATCTACATGTTGTCAGTGTGTGCATCTGTGAATCTGCATGTGTGTCAGTGTGTGTTTCTGTGTGTCTGAGTATCTGCATGTGTGTCAGTGCGTATATGTGTCTGTATATCTGCATGTGCTTCTGTGTGTCAGTGTATATATCTGTGTATCTGCATGTGTTTTGTGTGTGTGCGTGTATCACAGTGTGTGGTTGTGTACGTGTATATGTATATGTGCAACTACATACAAACACACTCCTGCATTGAAATGTCAACGCTACATTCAAACACACCTCTGTGTTAAACATCAAAATTATATATAAACACACCTCTGCATTCAAAAACCAACACTACACATAAATGCCTGCTTGCTTTCAAACGCCAACACCACATACAAATACACATTCAAACAAACACAATCCATACAAAAACATGCTTATATCCAAACACGCAAACACTACAGTGCTACATACAACCTTGCAAGAATGAGAAAATGATAGAGCCCCAGCTGTCAAAGCATTGTTGGAGCTGCACAACCAATAGAGCCCCACCCTTGCAATTGCGGGGAGGGGGCAAAAAATGATTGCACCAGGACCCTTTATACATTAGATCCTCCACTGTGTTGGGGTGGAGGGCATGATGCATGCAAGGGAGTTGGGGCAGGGGGAGGGCAGGTTCCAGGGGGCACAAGCAAATGCTTGCCCAGGGTCCAATCAATATCAAAGATGGCCCTGACAGGACACTGCATGCTTCTGGCATTTAACACATATATCTGTCGCTATCATTCAATCTAAAGCCAGATACACATAACACATAACACCAAAACACTGTTTCTAGTGCCATTCACCCAAAAATTTGATTTTGTAAAGATTGGGTGCATATTACGACATTCATGCAAGCTGAAAATGGCCCTTTACAATATAGAATCATGATTTCAGGCAAGCATTATACCTGCATACAATCATATTTATTTGATGATGGTTTCTGGGTAGTTTGCCAAACGCATGTTTCCTTTAACCCATGAAAAGGACGGCAATAGTAGACAACCCAAGGTATTTGAAATGGGGTATGTCCAGTATTTTTTAGTAGCCACTTAGTCACAAACACTGGCCAAAATTGGCATTCAAATTAGTTATTTGCATTTCTCACACACAAACAAATATTAACACTATCTTTGGCCAGTGTTTGTGACCAAGTGCCTACTAAAAAAGACTGGACATACCCCATTTGCAATGCCTTGGGTTGTCTACTATTGCAAATGGTATGCCATCATGGGGGTAATTCTCATTACTGGGCTACCATACGGTCACAAAGGCAACATAACCAATCTGGCGAATTTCAACACCATAAAACCTGTACACAAGGGGTACTGTTTTACACGTGAGACATACACCTGATTATAGAATCGGATGCAAGCCTACATGGCTGGGGCGCACGTTGTGGCAACATATCCACCGGTGGCAGATGGTCCATGGAAGAATTCAAACTACACATAAATTGCCTGGAGCTTCTGGCAGGATCATTCGCCATCCGCAGTCTCTCCCCTACGGTAGGGAGATGTTGTATACTGCTCCATATGGACAACATCTCGGCAGTCTGTTATATCAGTCATCTAGGGGGCACCAAATCCAAACAACTAGCAAACCTAGCGAAGGAATTTTGGCAATTTTGCCTTCACAACGAGATTGCGGTGACAGACGAACACATTCTGGGCTTAGACAATGTACAAGCAGACTGGAATTCCAGATATCTGCGAGATCCGGGAGACTGGCATCTTCTCCGCTCTACCTTTCGCCAGATAGACAAAATATGGGGACCACTAGACATAGACCTCTTTGCATCCAGACTGAACAGTCACCTGCCACGATACTTCAGCTGGCGACCAGATCCAACAGCCTTGGGGACGGATGCTTTCCTACAGAAATGGCCGAAGTCTCGGCATTACGCATTTCCCCCTTTCAATCTCATATCCAGGACACTATCATACCTATGCAAACAGGACTGTTCACTAGTGATAGTGGTTCCACTATGGCACGCTCAGCCGTGGTTTCCTCGACTACTAGAGATGGCAATCGACTCTCCACGAATAATACCATCGAGACCAGACTTGCTATTGGACCCGGAGGGGAACCCGCACAATCTAATCAATCGGGGCCTGCTTCAACTCACGGTTGATTTCCGGAGTCCCTGGACATTCAAAGACATCTCACAGACGGTTACAAGACTCATGGACAACTCTTGGGCTCCAGGGACCAGAGCGGCCTACAACTCCGCATGGCGAGTGTGGGCTAGCTGGTGCATGGAACAGTCAGTGGATCCAGTTTCAGCATCTCTGAAAGAAGTACTAGAGTTTTTGACGTCCCTTTTCGAAGAAGGAAAAGCGTACCGTACCATTAACATGTACAGGTCGGCGATCTCGGCAGGACACGGAGATCTAGAGGGCTCCCCGATTGGACAACACCCCTTCGTTTGTAGACTCCTGAAGGGGATACGCTTTGAGAAACAAACCCGCTATTCTTCATTCTGGGATGTCAACATTGCCTTACACTTCCTGGAGGAATGGACGCCAAATGAGGAACTCTCCCTTAAACACCTGTCTTGGAAACTGCTGACTCTTTTATGCCTACTGTCCTGCAAGAGGATATCGGACGTGCAAGCCTTGGACTGGGACGCATTGTCATTCACCCCAGAGGGAGTATCATTCTCCATATCGAGAAGAACTAAAGGCAATACAAAATCTATCTCTTACCCGAGATATCCAGGACACCCTTCATTATGCCCGGTTAGATGCCTTCGGTCCTACCTGGATTGTACTCAGAAATTACGCTCACCCGAATCAAGTCAACTATTCATATCTTTTCGAACCCCCTTTCTACCAGTGTCCACACCCACGTTAGCTCGTTGGGTCAAGAACCTGTTAGCACTAACAGGAATTGACACCTCGAAATTCTCTGCACACTCGGTGAGAGGCGCAATGGCATCCAAAGCCTCAACGATTGGCTGTCGCCTCGAGGACATATTAAAGGCGGCAGATTGGTCGCAAGTATCGACGTTCAGAGAATTCTATTTTCGGCCAATAGAACATATCTCACTTCAAGTAGTGGCCAAGCTTTGAACTAGCATAATATGAGCCTCCGTGTCATTAATAAAATTCCAAGATTTTACTAGTAACATGACGTAAAGTCATGATTTTATTAATGACACGGAGGCGAGTATTATCCCCACCCACCCACCCGGTGGGCGTGGTACAGCCAATAAGGAGAGTCTTAAGACTCTCGCAAAAGGTAAGTAACAAGGATTTTTCTAGAACATGTAAAACATCCATTTTATGTACACATATAAACTTTTATACCATCTTATTATATCAGATATAAGGAACATAAGGAATAAGGATAACATACAGTTCCAAAGTTTGGATTTTACCGTATACTCTCTTTGTTTCCACAGCGTAACGTACTGAACACTAAGTAGGAAGAACGTCGGAAGTTATGGGAAGTTACGGGACTTATTCCGTTCAAGTTACTACTGCTCTTCATCGAGTAAGACAAGAAAGAGGAAGTTAGAAGACTGTTCAAGACACTTAATGTTGATAAATGTATATGATTGGCTGCCCTGTTACTAGGCAGATTACTTATGTTATTTCGTTTTTATTCTCTTTCAAGTTAAACTTTTTGCTGCTGAGGAGAATAATAAAGAAAGAGAAAGCATAATACTCGCCTCCGTGTCATTAATAAAATCATGACTTTACGTCACGTTACTAGTAAAATCTTGGAATTGCTGGTCCTGTTCCAGAGCACCTGTGGCCGTTGGGAGTGCGGTTCCTGTGACCAATTCACAGTTAAAATGTCCCGTTGAAGTAAAAAAACAACATTTCTAATTTTCTCCTATTTTTTTAAATATTTTTTTCATATTACATTATGTTTCATACCTAAATATTTGATGTTAAATGATAGCCCTGTTTCCCCTGAATAAAATGAGATATAATACGTGTGGGTGCACTTAAAATGAAAGAGGTGAATTACGGTTGAACCGGCATATAGTCAAATTCCAGATTTTGTTTACGTTTTGTTTTGATGACAATGTGTACATTTGGTTCAGTCCTTAAGGGGTTAAATATCCAGGAGTATAAGGCAGAGTATTTACCATTTAGTGCAGAGTTGTGCTTTTTTTGTTTTGTTTTTTGCTGTAAATTATAAAATTGCGATTTGTTCTACTATGCTTATTTTTCTAAACTAGCATGAAGTATTGGAGGACAGGAGTTCAATATATTCTCTAAAATGTTAACTTTCAACAAAGGGCGAATGAATACCTGAAAAAATATAATTCCATAGCATTTAAAAACTATCGGGTTTTTTTAGTTATCATTGAACGATAATTTGTTTGCAGGCTTCTATATTGTTTTATCTTTAGCTAATCTGCTAGCTCTGCATCTCAATATTTAAAATAAAAATATATGTAATCCTTGATATATAGGTAATATGTTTTTAAAGAGGCATGAGTTCAACATTGGAGAAAACCAATACTTTATAAATCATAGTAAGATTTCACTATCAAAGGAGAAAGTTCCATTTTATGAATGTATTAAACTTAGGATTCACGAAAGTGAGAATTCAAGATGAAATTTAATATCAAAATAGCCAAACTGAAAAACAAATTGATAATAGTAATGGTGTGGGGAAAGGAGGGTTGGGGGGGGGGAGGGGGGATGACATTGATGTTGTAGCTTGATCAGGGACAAATTACTTGATAGTAGAAGCATCCCATCTGTCATAGAACCATTGGGTCTAGAGGTATCAGTTTTAGTATCTCATAAGCAAAGAAAGAGTCCATGTTCTTTAAGTTCAATAACCTATGTCTGGTCTCATTATGTACCACAAGAAGTGCCCTCAGGTCAGCCCAATGGTAGATGATACCTTGATGCCAGAGTACTGTAGCTTTGTATAAATCCATGAAAACTTTAGTGCAGAGTTCTTTAAGATATAAAGGGTTTTCTCCTTGATAGCCATCAATAAGGTAGTTTTGATAGCCCCGCAGAAACTTTACTATCACATCATGAGACGTAGGCTCTGGTGCATTTGGGAATTCAGGGGCTCTAAAAAAGCCATTCAATTATATATTTTTGGCCTGTGTGGCCAAGATCAGAGTGTGCAGTTATCATTGAAAATATTGTGGTAGTTCCCACCCACCCACTCTTTCCAGGATACCTCTCACCTGAAGGTGCTTCCACCTACTTTTATCAAGGGTGGATCCTCAGTGGCCTACTGTACACAGAGCTTCAGTAGTGGTGAAGGCATCCAAACTATCTGAACACTCAGAGTCGGAGCCTGGCAGAGTTACAATTTTAGGTTGGCTGCGTCTAGACTCTCTGGCCAGAAACACACTGACATCTCTTGTTTTTTTAGCTCCTAACTTCTTTCCTCTTTACCCTATATGTTAGAGAATAGCTCCATCTGCAATACTGAGGAGGTGGAAATTTTACGATGAATAAGCAGCATGCTAGGTTTCATTTTTATTATGAGGTTATGGATGTCTTGTTTTGTCAAGGGTTGATCCTCAGTGACCCTATGGACTACATTACACAGAGCTTCAAACTATCTGAACCCTCTTAGAGCCATTTTAGTTTTGCTGAGCTTAGACATTCTGATCAGAAATAAACCAGCATCTCTTGGCTTTTTTAGCTCCCAACTTCTTTCTTCGTTACCCCAGAATGATAGATAACAGATAACAGCTGCATTTACTAGGGAATATCAATTTGAATAAAGTCATAGTTTAGATCCCTCAAAAGATACTCCATTGCATTCCTGAACTCCCAGGTTTATAAAGATAATGTTGGGATATCATGAAGAACTTTAGGGTAATAAGGTCTAGGGCAGGGGTGCTCAAAGGGTTCCATCCTGAAATAGTTAAGAGGGTGCTAAAATCAGTAATACAGAAGGAAAACAAATTATACAGGAAACAAAGAGTCATTGCATATTACAATTGGAAGGCAGTTGGCAGTGGCCATAAATATTATTGATGTTAGAAATTATACTCTCAACCTTCTAAAAAAAAAAAAAATCAATTCTAACATTTTAGTGCTACTATAAAACTAACTATAAATAACTCCTATGATGACTGCTAGTAACGATTACCTCACTATTTTGGGGGTAATTCATTGATCAAATGAACAATAAGTCTGATCAGAAATATTTCAGGTTTAGACAATATTGACTCGGATGCTATTAAATGAATCAATGTAATAGGCCTAGATTAAGATTACCCATTAGTTCCTCTCCTCTCTGAATACTCTATGGACATTTAATTGACATTTAAAAATATCTTAGTTGTATACTTACCGCTCCTCATTTTTAATATATATATATATATGTGTATATATATATATATACATTTTAGCTTTCAAATATAATTTAAAGGGGAACTGTCACTTCCCAGGAAATGTAATATTATGTTTACCCATCTCTATATTTAACAAATATGTATATGAATTGTGAAAAACAAAAATTAAAAGTAGAAAGCCACACCTTGTTTACCTGCGAATGGGCATCTCCATTTAACCTCGCTGTCAGTCATTGTTCTATCTTCTGTCCTTTACACTGAGAAAGCTTGCTGTAGTGCATTATGAGTAAGTGGCATCTTGTCTTAATTGCAGTTTTTAAAGATGCTGATTTCTATTTATATTTGAAATCAGCACTTTTATTACTAATTGCAGAAACACCTACCTTGCTTAATTCTTGAAAAATGTTCTCACTTTAGTAAGTAACACTATGGGTGTTTCTAGAGGTATATTGTAGCAATATGGTACCTTGGCATCTTTAAATTTATTGCGAGGTACTGGGGATATGACCCTAAAGTGCCCTCTATTTGTTCTTTGTCCATGGTACAATTGTGGCTCAACCTCTGCCCCTGTTGAGTATGGAGCTGTGAAGCGCTAAACCTGTGTGTGGTGTTGTTCCTCTGTTATTGTGTGCACTTGCCAGTTTATCCTACCCTCAGCATGCAGATTGCAACAACAGTGTTGTACATAGCACAATGCAGCCATGACAATACCCAGAGTAAAGGCTGAATGTAAATTTATTAGTGGGTTCACCACCTCACAAAATAAAGGTGTGAGGTGGTGAACCCACTAATAAACTTACCTTCTTGATTCTGGGGTGTTGCCTGTATCCTTCAGCCTTTGAGACTATATTGGTGGATTCAGCAGTGTCCATCCTTAACACTGAGCACCTCCTTGGTGGAAGGCCTGAACATATATGTGGTACTTGTGTGCAGGGTTTGCTGTTTCCATAGGGTCCAAGGCCATCATGAAATATAGAGATGCTAGTGTGGCCACAGAACCAGCTAAATCACATGTCAAGTACTGGGATATAAGAGAGAGCCCTACTGGAATCCAATGATCTGGGCACACACCAAAAGGAGTCCTGCCACTGGACACAAATTGGAGATCCATGGGCAGATTCGATACAGGTTAAACCTCTACGGGTGATCCTTATACTGCCAAGAACTTTACACAAGTACAGCTCAAGTTAACATTTCAAATCCATCTTCATAGAGTTTTTATTTTTTACAACATCAATTATTCCGATTATTATGCTGGGAAATTATACACACAATTCGCACAAATCTGTATAAATATAGAAAGATAATGTTGTATGTAGTGTTCCCAGCATGATCATAATATTTACAGGTAAATTTGAACCATGATGCAGAGGAAATTCTCAATACAGATTGAATAGTTTCCTTTACAGTGTTATGAGCGACTATATTAGACATTAATGAAATAAATGTAACGATCAAACTGTATTAAAAAAATAATTATATTCATATTATTTAATCATTTATTTTAAGCAGGATTTTTCTCTATTAAAACAATCTTGAGGACTTTTTTTTTTTTTTTTTTTACTATAAAACAAATTGCAGCGATTTCACTAAATTAAACCTAAGCAACTTATTTTGGAAAATGCAAAATTATTACTTCATGTCTATTTTTTCTGTTCTAAGTAAACATTGGTGTGGAAGTGAGATTATTGTAGCAGTTTAAAACCAAACTTCAAGACACCGTGTTTTTTTTTGAGGAAATCTGTAGGATAACTGATGCTACAACAAAACATATTGGTTTATTCATGAAACACTGACTTGTGGGAAAACAAAAAACAAAGTTGCTGCAAAATATAAAAAATCTGTAAAATCTAAAATTTGCTATTTCATTGTCAGTTGATCACTGTTATTTAAAGAAGAAGAAAATCTCGTAATAAAAATGTTTCCAATTATTGTCCTCAAATGTAGAAGAAGAAATGATTTTTCTGTACATGGCATTTGCTGTTTTACCTTTGACGGTACAGACATTTTCAGTTCCTTACAATAACAGGAATTCTCTCCTTTTTTATATGCTGGCCATGAGCAAGGAAAATGTGAAGTTGACAAAGACACGGTTTTATAGGCACAGCTGGCAACAAACATTCTTC